TGGTTATTACTGGGCACATCGCTCAGTTCGCGACCCATGGTGAATAAAGCGAGCTGGATGTCTCCTCCGAGACACGTTCCGTATTATTTCCATAATGGCGCGTCGAATATGTCTCATCTTCCAACAGTAAATGACAGGGTTCAGAGACGAATTGAGAAAGATCAGAGTCACTGAAAGAAGATAACATTTTTTCATAGCAATGCTCGAGCCATGAAATCTGATGGCAGCCGAGAAAATTTGAAAAGGCACATAACAAACTATATGCACGAGATAAACGTAGAATACACCAACTGTAGACTTAATGTGGGCAGCGAAGTTTTTTATCTCATCAGACTGAGCTTCTTCTCGTATTTGCATGGACTGTATATGACTCTTGTGCCGTCGAACAGTGTGATATATCTTGATATACAACACGAAAGTGAGAATGAAACCAACCACTGCACTTACCAAACCAAAAGCATCCCTCGTGCTACGTAGCCCCCACAATATTATTGAAGAAACAAATGCACTGTACACCCATAAAGAAATCACCACAAAAACTACACGCTTGTGAGTCACAAGCTCTTGGTACCTGAGATGAAAATGAACAGTTAAGAACCTGTCTACACTTACAGCTACAACACCTAGGAACGAAGGATGTGAAAAGAAACTAGCACAAACACTCAGCATTCGGTATGTGTTACAGCCTGGATTCTCCATTTGAAGCCACTTGATCAGAAGTGAAGTGTAAAATGGTTGACCAAATAAACCGACAGCGACATCCGAAAGGGCGAGGTTCAGAAGAAGGGTTTTTAAGGGTTTTGCAATTGTCGAAGCTTTGTACATCGCGTAAATTGTCAGAATGTTCAACATGATGGCGGTATAAGTAAGAAAACTGTTGAAGATACAGATTGCGATGATGGTTGGCTGAAGATCATTGAAGTCGACGTTGGTGGGATAATACTTGAAAGACTCGTCACAATAGAAATCGCTCATGATGTCACTCTTCGATTATCTTGAATTAAAAGTGGGAACTTCAGACAAACAGAATGTATGTGAAGGTGTAGTCTGATCGTCCGGGTGAGTGTAGTCCTGAGAAGGACTGTAGTCGGTGGTAGTGACTGACGTTTCGACAACCTGTGCGCAAGTCATCATCCGGGTCAAGTGGATGAAAACTGGATAAGTTTTGCTCTTTCAACACTGATTCCAATGTTGCAATACAGCATAGATGATCTCAAGCGACAGGAAGCAGATTTTATGATACTACCAGATCAGCTTGTCTGACTTGTGCCATATGGCACCAGAAAAATGCGTAAATGTTGCTGATAATGACTAGTTTACATAACAAAACCCAATGTGCGTAGACTAAGACAACAAGCTGTTTCGCCGTTTGAATTTCTAATTGTGCGTATAATTGAGACATAAACGAGTTCAGAAATAAATAAAGAGTTCGATCAATTATCATGGACTCCATAGGTGAACGTAAATTTTTAAGCTAATACTCTAACAGGCGGGGATGTTCAACTAAATTAGACATTTAACCTTTTCAATCCCGCCCGAGATCTCCCTACTGTCTGTCATACAATTCTTATGATGTTACTTAGGAGAATTTGGTATCTGATCAGCCAATAATTCTCTAGTTGATATTTTTCTTTATCATCATCACTTGTCTGCTTGATGTTGTATTGATATTATAAGGAGAAATTCTGTTTTGGTCACTCATAGGAGTGATAGGGTCAAGATAGGGTCATTTTTTTTAAATAAAATAAATCAAATCAAATAAAACAAGATATCAAAGACTTAAAAGTCCGAATTAAGCTAAATGTCAAAATCGTCTTTCAAAATGAATATTCGCACGAAGCGTCTTGAAATATATTTAAATACTCATATTATTTACTATTTTAAAATTAAAATAAACTGCTAAGCAAAGCGAAAATATGGCCCGCGTCTTAACGAACCGAGATTAGTCTCTCATACTCCGATTGCACGTGGCCACAACTACCTTCTGTGTTCTGAGGAGTCACTACTGCTGTTGTTTTCATCCAAAAGCTTCTTTTTCTGTCTGTTTCTGTTCCTAGAAAAGCAGAACTGTCAGTTTATAAAACTCGCCTTTTCATAAGTTCATGCATCATATCACCAAAGCACCATCCGCTTATTACACGTTTAAGTGACTCATTTTAGAGTAGAAATGAAAAACTACGTTACTTGAGGGGAGAATATACGCCAAGGGAATAATGGTGATTGTTATCAAAATTATGATTCATACTAAAGATGAAAAAGAACCGACAACGGAGACGGAGACGGTGTTAAAGCGGCAATTAGATTCTTAGATACGAGAAAGAAAGAACAAAAAGAAAAAGTACTTCATAAAGTTTGATGTGATCTGCACCCGTTGGTCACGGTGAAAACAAAATAAATTGGCCACTCACGCTCTATCTCTTGAAAGTTGCGTCTCTGCGCAGTCAAGTTCATTTATGGAAAATTTAAAGCGACAAACCTCTAAGGCCTACTGTGGGGTCTTAAGTCGCCCTAACCTTGGGCGACTTTGGGCGATTTAAGGCGACTTTAAGGCGACTTTAAGGCGACTTTAAGGCGACTCAAGCAAAATTGGCGGAAAAAACATTGCGACTTTAGGCGATTTAAGGCGACTTGAGGCGACTTAAGGCGACTTAATTAAAGCAATTTTATTTGACTGAAGTGATAAAATTAAAGTTAGCAACAGTCTCGCCATAAACCTTAAAAATGTGTACAGAATCCCTTCCAATAAACATAATATGATTAGGGTGGGGTGAATTGGGTCAACTGGGCATGGAAAGGCTGGGTGCGTGGAACCCTTATAACATTGCGTATGTACCATTGCGAATTTAGGCAACTTAAGGCGACCTAAAGCGACTTTAGGCGACTTAAGGCGACTTTAGGCAACTTAAGGCGACTTAAGGCAACTTAAGGTCCCAGAGTAAGCCTCCTCTTATTGCCTCGATAACCGATCGCTTACCCTGCGATCCCCATTGAGAAAATGTCTTTTTATGCTGGGCTCACAAGCAGAAATGACTCAGAAAATCATACACGTTACATTATTTCTCGAAAGCAGCTTAGACTTCCCCCTGACTGCGTAAGAAAAAGATGGGGAGATCGAGGTAATGCTTATGGATGCACGCGGGAAGTCGCTAAGCACGAAAGAAGCGTAAGAGTCGCTCGAGGCGATAGCCGAGAGCGACTCTAGCTTCTTGAGTGCTTAGCAAACCTCCCAACTGCATCCATAACTCAATAGTGTACGCTGTGGTGTTTACCATTTGTTTTATAAAATAACATTGATACACTGTAGCTAAAGAGTTCCCTTTTATTTAACAAATCTTACGTGACCAGAAAAAACAAGCGCTCGCGGAAAAATAGTCGTTGCATTTGCTCACGTCAGCAGCGTACACCCATGGGCAAATGGGGGACGCTAAATTGACCAATCAGAGCGCGCGCTTTACTTTGGTTATGTTATAATGTCAGTCAGTTGTGGGAGGGTTATTCAAGGGCAAAATATTGAACGAGAAAATACCAGATAAGTTCCACTTCGATCTGTCATGAGGAATCGAGCCACCAAATAATTGTTTATCTAAAGTTAGGAATTATATTGCTTGATAAGAGCAGGAGTGAGTAATAATGTAAGCAGCTTATCATTTGGGCCGATCTACAGGGACTTTCCTTCTGTTGATAAGAAAGGCATGCTTCACTAAATCGCCAAATAAGCTGTTGAATTCTTAATATTGTAAGCAACTATTGTTATTGTTTAAAAAAAAATTCGGAAACAATATCACTATACTGAAAGCGGCAACGATTGTTTTAGTAAGATATGACAAGCTGTGTTTAACAAAGATGACATTATGTGTGTAATTGAGAGCCTTAGATATTAAAAATCGTTAAAAAAAAGCAATGGTTGGCTTCGTCGTGGAAGTGATTCGCTGATACACAGTCCAATGAACTCTTGTGAAAAAAAATTAGCTACATGCTATATATATAAAAGAGTGCTGCCTGTGGTGTTTCCATATTAGACTATTTACAGATTATCACCGTATTGTCTCTGCATTGTCTCTGTGAACTTTCCTCTTATATTGTGCAAAGTTTAAGGAAGGAATAAAGTCGGAATCGTAGTAGTTTCAGAGCGTGATTTCCATATAAAACTTTACAAAGCGTGCAGAGTAAATCAATCAGCGCATCTCATCAAAGTTTATCTCCTCCGACTTTTTCCGTAGAGTCACTGAAGGTGTTAATCCTCTTACGCAATTTGCCTACGGCACCATAAAAAATCGATTTCCATATATGGTATTATCTAAACACTAGAGTTCACGCAAATAACCCGCATCCGTCGCAAACTATCACAACAGATTTATATCCGTTAACCAGCAATCAAATCATTTGCAGTGACACGCTCATGATAAATTTAGATTTAGAAAAATTAACCCCTGTTCGACTAATTAAAGAACATTCAGCGATACTTGTCGTAAAATCTTCTCCATGTGAACTGAGTCGCATATGTTTTATCACTACGTAACGCGCCGCTGACACTTAAACTCTCAATTGTCATCGGTCACGCCCATTTAGTGACGTAAAGCGATGCGGGCGAGTGAACAGGAAATGCGATATTTGAGTAGGTCTGGTCGAACATATATAAATAATGCAAGGAGTAATCAAAGTGACCGAGACACCACGATCGCTTAGAAGACCCATAGATCGTATCGTTATCTAATTCGTATTTTTTTTTATCACGATGGGGCGATTCCTGCTTACAGTTCTGGCTCTTTGCACTCTCGATGCGTTTGTGCATGGAAAAGCTGTTGTGAGTCCTAGAAAACAGGCTGAGCTTATGGTAAGTGAAACACATTGCTGAATATTTCGTATTATCGTAGAGAATAGGCTGGGAAAGAATGACTTTTTGTCGTCGATATTGAGCTTGTGAATCTCGGTAATTATGTTTGTATTACGGCTACTAGCTTCTTAAAGATAAGGAAACATTGGAAATTTTATATCCAACACAAAGCTACTGTTTGTGCATTGTGAGCAATGTACTGAAACCTGCTTTGGTTCCTGTTGCAGTTTCGCCTGTCACGTACAATTATGATTCATTTATCAAGAGAAATTTCTAGAGAAAACACTCTTTTCCGCATCGATTCCACGTTTTTGAAATATCAAATGAACACGATAGCGCACACAAAAAGATGGAATTGTTCACAATCTACCACTGTGACGGTATGCCACGCTCCGTCGACTAGCGATACGTTCACGAGTAAATCAACAATAAATGAATAATTATCTAATTAAGAGCAGTCGCTTCGCAGCATCATTAGTGGAGTTCTTTGCCTAGGCGCTTTGATTGCTAGCGTTAAGAATAACATTTCTCAGCTAGTTTATTTTGACCTGCGTATGCAGATGGCATTCCAATAAATACAAGAACATAAGTTTCTGCAATTCAAATTGATTGTGACCTTCAGGCAGAAAATGTTGTCATTTTGCGGCATCATTTGACATGCAAAATTTCCGTTGTGACTGCTGAAGACGTTTATTTCCGCGCTGTTATAAAAGACATTTGGAATTTTCCGCGGACAACTATTAACTCTGATGAAAAGTAAAACCAGTCGAAACCAAGTAGTATGTAGGAACACCAAGAAAGATATTGGCTTGAACCAAAGGAGTCACTTTACAAATTAGGATAATTTTTTTTTCCTTTTTACATACATTTTATACATAGATGCTGCAACAAAAACGTTTTGTATAAATTACCGAAAGATTCCTCTTCGAACATATTGTTTCTGTTCCGATCCAACTCATGACAATGTTCAATTTTCTAAGTTTCTTAACTGAAAACAAAAACTCTTCCTATTTGCTTCAAACGAAAATTTGCTGTGACTGGATGGAGAAAAAGCTAAAGAGACTGCCAGCCTGTTAATAGTTTTATATCCCGCTCGTTATCATACATTTCCAACGTTGAAGTGAGCGGGAAAATGTTTTTGATATTTTGTGTTCGTACTACACGGCCAAACTTATTTACCCTGCGTGGTTTGCTCTCGAGAATAGATCGCATTTAAAATTTCCATCGGCGTGAGAGAAACCGGTGCATGAAAAAAAGACATGTGTCCAATGCGTTCCCCTAAAACATCGTTTTATTTTTGCTTCAATAACTTTCTGACCAATTATTTTGAATTATATATTCATAATCATTTTATTTACCTTTTTTACCGTCAGGATTTCATGGTAAGGTATGGATATTTGCATCAACCAGACCCTAGAGTAGAAAAAGATCTTACCAATGAAGATGTTACATTGGCCGTGAAAAATCTCCAACACATGAGGGGACTGGCAGAGACCGGAAGTCTTCAGGACCCTGACACTGCAGCTTTGCTAGACGTAAAGCGTTGTGCAGTGCCAGATTTTGGGCCATCGGATACCGCTAAGAGAAAGCGGCGATATGCTGTGCACGGGACGGTATGGAACAAAAAGGTATGTATCACTATCCAAAGACTGTTAAATTCCTGACGTCCACAGAGGTCCAGATCAGACACTATGTCTATATTTACTCAAGGCTTAAGTGAAACTCCCCCCTCCCTCCCATGACAATCTGTTCACAATAATCACGTAACCAGAGTAGAACCATGGTAACAATCCCTCAAAATTAAAAGGGCCGCCATAACGATGGTGGTGTTTTTTTTAGTGGTCACTGATGTTAAGCAATAGAGACAGCTCGAAAAGATAGACGGGGTATAATAAACCAAAAATAAACAAGGAATGTTGGGAATGAGCGAGATAGAAACGGAGCTAGGATTAGCGGCTGAATGTAAAGTGAACTGAGCTTAATTCTTTCTGACAGCGACCTGATAACAATATTCTTAACTTCTCCCAACAGCTGTTAACCTACAGAATCGTTAACTATCCATCAACGACCAAGCTTAAAGTTAAAGAAGTCGACGATACAATAAAAAAATCTCTAGATTCGTGGTCAGCTGTCAGCCAAATAAAGTTCGAACGCATCACTGACGATAACACAGAAGCAGACATTATGATCAGTTTTGTGACTGGTTACCAAGGAGACAGCAGACCAGCGGATGGGCCTGGAAAAGAGCTGGCACATGCGTTTTTTCCTCTTGATAACAAAGGTGTGTTCTAAACTGGAAATAATTTTGATATTTATCTGATTCAGTCAAAGTGCTGTCTGCGTTTAAAGCATTTTTGTATGGTTCTATTTCAGTATATCGGTGCATGCAAAGAAAAAAAGCCGTCACCACAGGCAATCTTTCTAACAGTTAATGTTTCCTTAAAGGTCTGGCAGGTGATCTACATTTTGACAACGATGAAGAATTTGATATCAGTGGCAGTCCAGACAAGGTGGATTTCAACTGGCTCTCGCTACACGAGCTCGGTCATAGCCTGGGACTAGACCATTCTTGGCATATCGACTCTGTTATGTTCCCTTTTTATCTGGGTTATACTCCCGGTCTGAAGCTTGATAAGGACGATGTAGAAGGAATCCAGCAGCTTTATGGTAACGATCTGTTCCGTAACTCACATCTAGTAACCTGTACAACGCTTCTTGCTCTTAAAATTATAAGCGGTTACCGCTGACACTAAAATAACCTCCCCGGCAGTGATGGTAGGTTGGGAGGTAGCTCGAAATTATATATTTCACGCTCCTCTCCAGAGCTTTGATCTCCAACCTGTGCCCAAACAAATTGCTTATAATCACGTAGCCTTTCATCATATTTGGAAACACTTTTTCTTTTCTTCATCTTCAATTTCATCGGCGTAACATTTTTTTATGATTTCATTTAATCAGGTAAACCAGAAATCGACCTTGTCACACCTACTCCCCACACCAATCCTACACAGCCCCCTGGGATACCAGATTTTTGTTCCCTGGAGAAGCTTGACGCTATGGTTATGACGAAGAACAAGAAAACGTTCGCTTTTAGCGGAGCGTATTTCACAGAGATCGCTGATACGGGTGCAGGTAAAGTTATGAAAATAAAGGACCATTGGGCGGGATTAGAAGATGACATCGACGCTGCAGTTACTAGACGATACAATGGATGGACATACTTTTTCAAGGGCACCAAGTAAGTTCAAGGATAAATCATCAGTTTCACTCGCACAGTTTTAATTGAGTCTCAGCTCACACATTGCGACTGGGAGTCTCAGCTCACACATTGCGACTGGTTGAAATGTTTCGCGCCATGCTCTGGACCATTGAGACGCAAAACTACACTGAGCCAATCTGGCCCTGGGCTCTTACGTCGTCCCCAAGCCTCAGGCTGTTACGCGTTTTTTCCATATAGCTCTCATTAGTTCCTTGAGAAGCATTTCTCACTCTGATTGACGACTCTGGTGACTTCTTTGGTCCTACGAAAATACCTCTACAATAAAAACCCCGTGGGAAATTACCCCAGGGAAATAACCCTTGCACTCTTAGGTTATATCAGAGGGATATCATCTAATGAAGCTCCGTCGATAAAATTACAATTCTCTGCTCAAGTAACTTTGCATTTCCTCTAGGCTATTAAAAAAAATGGCATTCTGCGTTAACTTCAAGGAAAATCATATATTTACTTAACTCAGACAGATTTCTTTATCTCCGCCGGACTGAATGGCTTGATCAAATCGATCCAACAATCTGAAAAAGCTTCGCCATTTTCTTTCTTCTCAAGAAGGTTTCAATGGTAATTGATACATTCATATTTTTCTTTTCACAGATTCTGGATCTTAAAAAACAAGCATCTAATACGAGGACCTATAGACATCACTGTTCCACATAAAGATGGCGGGATGGGCCTTCCAAAGGAACTGTACAATATGGAAGCCGCTGTCGAATGGGCTGGGAATGGTCGCATGTATTTCTTCAAGGGAGAGGACTATTGGCGTTATAATTATTATCGACGAACAGTTGACTATGGGTACCCCAAGAAAATCTCCAAAGCCTGGCTTGATGTTCCAAATGATCTGAACGCTGCCTTGCAGTGGAAGAATGGCAAAACATACTTCTTGAAAGGGAAGAGCTATTACGCTTTGAAACGCCGAGGAAGACCAAGGGTTGATGCCGGATATCCCAAGGACATTTCGGCCTACTGGATGGGATGTAACCAACAGGGACTTATCAAAGGAAAAATATCCCCCGGGAGGTCGTCTTCTTCCTCTGTTTTACCAAATACTCTTGTCTTGCTTGGAGGCATGCTAACTTGGTTAAGACTTTATCAGTATTGAACTAAGCTCAATATGAATATAAAAAACGACCAACTGTTGCCCACCAGCGCACTGGTCGAGTTCTCGAAATTCCTTTGTGGACCCGAACTCACATTTTAAAATCTTATTCTAAAGAATATTAGTACGGGTCATACCCCCAATGAAAAGAGTATCTTTGTTGTATGAATTTAAAAACTAAAGTATTTGCATGAAATATCTCGATGGTGAATATGTAAACGCCACCAACGAAACTCATTTTATGGGGACGGCGGCTGTTGGAAGTTCGAGAAAATCCCAGGTTTAGGAACTGCAGCAAAGCACTCTGGAGTGGCTCACAAAGAAAATGAGAATAGTAGAGTTAAAAACGGACTTCTCCAGGAAAATATTCTGATGTACATTTTGAGAACGCCGTCTCAATGTAACTATAGACATCATCATTCACACATGTAACATTTTCATCATTTTGGAGAAAAAAGATTGAAAATCGAAATAGTTCACTCCATTTCAAATAACTTTACATATTATTGTATAAAGCATTTAAAAATGTGGAAGAAATCTTATCGAATTTGGTATATAGTTGTATGTTCGCTCTTTATCAAGAAGATAAAGTCTGTTTCTATGAGACAAAGAATATAGTATAGATATTGAACAAACCGGAAAAATAAAAATAATTTTCCATTGATATTCTTGTAATACCTTTTTGACTGGTATAGTTTAAGTAGAAAGAGTACGGAGAACACATTTCAGGTATTTTTAACCAATGTTTGACTTTCATAATTCCAATGATAAGAGTTGTGTTGATAAAAACACTAAACTACGTATTCTCCTGCTGTGCCGAAGCATTCTAAAATTTCTTTCCATCGATCGGATACTGATTAGAAATGATGAATCGGTAACCAGACCTTCGCAAGGGATAGCTATATTCAGCTTGTTCATTCGAATTGCTTGAATATTGGATAAGCTTCCGCGAGCACCAATCGAACAGCGATGGCGGAGACACCATACTTGCCCGGAAATTTCCTTACCGTGAATGGAAAGTTCCTATCGTCCAAATAAGATAGCAAGGAGTAAAATCATACAACCATTCAGGCATATTTACAGAGTTTTCGAATAGAATGATTTTATTTTAACGTTGGATTCTGTCCATGCCGAGTTTGCCGACTTGTCATGTTTCCCTGGTTGGTCGGAGTTATAAAATTTTCCGATATGGATTTTTTTTTGGCATGTGAATCTCTAATTGCATTGTGCAGACCACAAACATTATTATTTTGCTGTTTCGTGGCCTAAATTTGGATTATCTCGGTAAGTGTCCAGCTGTGCAAGAACGAGAAATCCAACAGCTCTAAAGCCTGTAAAGTGCATAGCATAGAGAGCCTAATTTAGATTTTATCTTGCTACATAATTTAAGCACCCCACATTTCTGACGAAAAAATCTAATTCACCCGTACGAATACCTTTTTTTTTACCAAAAACATGTCACTGATGATATTGATCTAATTCAGTTTGCAGCTCTACATTATTTAACGAATCTGGAGCAATGCACATAAACAAAACAAGCGTGAAGACCACTGATTTTATTACCAGACATAAGAGTAATGCACCCGTACTTCTTGCGATATGCGCGCGAGATTTAAACTTGCGAGGACGACGAGGAGCCCACGCACGGGGAAGTTAGCACTCGAAGAACGAGTAAACGCATAGTGAATATTTGCCGGCTGAGGACAAAAATTAATGAGTTTGGTGTATTCCACTTCGTTTACTCCACGTCGCCCTTCGGTCAAAACAATTTTAGACTACACCGTCCTTAATCAATTCTTTGGACCCTAGATCTAATTTTTTCAATGGGGCCTCAAAGTCTTTCTTGAAGGACAAATTTATGTTACCGTAAAAAAAAAAACAGAGGAAAACCTAAGAATGAAGACAATGATTCAGTTGTGGTTTAAAGGCATTTTTATATTTGGTTTCATTTAAAATTATTGCCCTTTTAAAAACATTCCTTTAAAATTTAGTTAAAAGAGTCAGCCGATGTCAGCTCAAGTTAGCGGATGACGAAGTTAGATTCGAGAGATCGTCGCGGGCTGAAGCCGACGTCATTGTATGTAGTCTCATTAACGATAAAACTGGTTCTCGGCCGTTGAAAAACATTTTTGATATATTCACACAGTGCACTGGTGCTCTCCAGGCTGAAAATGTTTCAGATGTGGCTACATGAGAAAACGCCAAGATTATCGGAAATACTTTCTTACCGTGACGTTAATCCAGCTTATACTGACTAGATGGCAAATGTTAAAACTCTATAGACTGCACGACCCGAAGTAGGCAACATAGAAAAAAGTTTATATTTAAAACTACAGTGAAAATAAGTGTTTCATATACCATACATAGTCATAGTAACGGTAAAAGTTGAGTAAACGCTAGTAAAAATTCAGCCAGTTTTCTGATGCTTTTTCTCAGCACGTACAAATTAGGGCTCATCTTTCGAATTTCTGAGATCTCGTTTGCATGATTTGTGCTATGTACGCGGCCATTAACTCGAAATTGTATAAACATCAGTATTTCGCGAAAGAATGTCGTCAGCCGGTCAACACGGACAGTCAATGCATCTCTTTGAAACAACACTGATATCAAAGTCAGCGGGGAACGGCGTACAGCACTGCGAATTTTGAAGACGTGTGCAATTTCTAAGCCGGCTTATACAAAGTATGAGCCCTCTTCGTAAAAAAGGAAAAAATTTAAGAACGTAAGAAACTTTTTTTTAAATTTTCCGTTTGACGCAACTGTAACAAGTGATGGCTTAGCGAATGAATATCTGCTTAAGAGCTTAAGTAGTTACTGAGCTGTTCGTGTTTCGAAAAAAACCATGAGTGCGTGCATGCGACTTTAAAATACGTGTCAGCTCTCTTCGGAAAAAAGGAAAACACTCAAGACGGAACTAACATTTTTTTAATTTCCCGTTTGACACAACGTTAACTGCAACGAATGATAGCAAGGTGAATCGTATATTGGCTTAGCAGCATAGAAAGCTAAGCTGTTCGTGCTTTGAGCAAACTAGCAAAAATTCTGACTTAAAAAGCTCATGAAAGTGTTATATTTCATAAAACACAGAAATCTCTAATTACTCACTTGATCGTAGCGTGTTTATACTATATTTTTTGCCCGGAAAAACCGCGAGCACTTTAATTTATCACCATACGAGTAAGGCCTGTTTATATCGTAATGCTGTTAAACAATGTTTAACCACCCCGCCCCCTCCCCCCAAAGGAGACGACCAGTCTCTCCCAAACAACAACAGTAATACAATAATAAAAGTTTACAATAATACACCTGAAATTATGCGGTTAGAATTTAAAAAAATGGAACATAATGCGTTTTATTGGACTGCTACAGCGACTGTAAACAGTGGCTGACGTGGCCGGCTGTGTTACGCTGGTTTGGCCAATGAAAAAAAATTGCCTTTTGAGTCCAAACTCTGTTAGGTGACTCTGATAGTTTCACAAATTTTCCGATATTCTTCTGATTATGTTTAAATGAAGACGATGGCAATTCATTATACGACGAAAACTGAATGATTTATTGTGATTTTCCTCATTCTGGCAGACTTCTACTGGACTTTAGGTGGCTCGTACCGGTTTTCATCTTTTTGATGGTTTGTAACTTTGAAAGAATACAACAGAAAGACTAACAAAGGCCAGTTGAACACTTTTACGGGGTTGCATTATATAATAATTGGTTATCCAAAAATAGGTGTCATTTCGTCACTAGCAGTTTCAATGGCAACGCTTTCATAGGCGTTTTAAGACGCATTTTTAGCTTGTGGCTTAAATAATTCGAAAACTAACCCGGTGACCCCATGATTTTTTTCAGTGATTGCTTTTGGCACTTGAAAAGGAAAATGCACAAAGATTTTTAAAAAATTCTACGGGCGGAATTTCAGAAAATCTAGAAAAAAGGCAATTTTCAGACATCGCAAATTTCCTTCCGTAGAATTTTCTAGTTTTTTTTCTGATGATTCCTTTCGACGTTATTATCATATTGGAACAATAAAAAGAAGGGGTCACCGGACTTGTTTTCTTGCAATAACTTTCGTGAGTTTAGCAATTTCCACGCGCGTTCTCGCGCATTTAAAAATCTGGGTCCAGTTGTTCGAAGGCCGATTTGCACTAATCCAGGGTTAAATTTTGATTCAGGTTTCCTTATTTCTCTATTCAAGAACCTTCATGAGATAATTTCCCCTGTTCTTTTTAGAGCATCCGATCATCAAATTGTAGACACAAGATAATTAAACTGAACTTTCTCCTAAAGCATTTAGATCTGAAATCAAATTTTACGCTAACCCTGGGTTAACTTAACCCAGCTTTGAACAACCCGGCCCTGGATTCTATAAGATCGACATTTGCTCATGATCTGTTTTAGCTATCGCTGACAATTGCATGTGCTCGCGCGAGCACCTACGATCTGATGTTTACAGACGTTTACTGCTAAGAAAATCATTAAACAGCCGTCAAAGACAGCCTACCAGGCTCATCTTAAAAATCCTACACATGACTTCTGGCTATATCATGTTATTTTCCTTGAAGTTTCAAAGTCTTCTTCCACTTCAGGTAGATTATCCTTCACTTGAGTTCTTCTTTTTTCGCCGTCGCAAGATTTCATATCGGTTGAATATTTCTTTTAAATGTGAAGTGAAGCAACCTTTACTTCTCCGAAAATAGTCTTCTTTATTTTAGTTCCTATCTCCTGCATTCACAGTGGCCGCTCAACGCATCAAATACAAGCTCTTAGGTAAACTTCTCACTTAAGTAGAAAAAAATCCTCGCGCCCCCATCTTTGTTTTAAATTTTCGTCTTTCAATCTCGCGCTTCTTTCGCACGTTTCTCTCGCGTGACGCAATAGTTATCTGTTCCCCGCGCGAGGAAACTAGTACGAGCCACCTTAATTGTCCCTTAAGATATTATACGTACTGTCTTGCAAAGCGTGGTTTCATACCCTGTAACCACAAACGATGTTTCCCTCGCCGGCATATAATAATCGTCAAAGTGCCACCAGTTTAAGGTAAATGAACTTGGTTGTATATCATGGAACAAAAAAATTACACACTTGATATATATCATGCGTGGGCCTTGAAAAACGTCTAACACAGTTTTGAAATCTCCCGAAACTTTGTAACTCGGATAAACGAGTTGAACTTTTATTACATGCATTTCGTGAAATAAAGTATCGATAAATTGGATCAACCTCTAGAACAGCTGATTTAGATGGTGGAGTTAACCAATCTCGATATTTCAGTCGATGTAACAAGGATTCAATTAGCTTAGCTGAACAATTCTAAGACATGTTGGTCTTGTAAGCTGGACCCATGATCATCTCACGTCACTCGTCAATTCTGGAATTTTATCAGATTCTCGAAAGTATAACTTCCGAGACTGTTTAAACTTTCTGAGTTCCTTCAGTCCGTTGAAGCGCCTTCGAATTCCTTACAACCGTTACAACTATAAAAGGATTACTTGTTGATAACTTACAGGATTTTCTGTGGCAAAGTAACGGAAACCGCCATAGGTGGGAGGTTCCCATTATCTCTTTTAAACTGAACTGATCGAACCATATAAAGTAGCGAAAACTCCTACAATTCACAAACGTTACTAACAACAAACCATCACCATAAACGTCCAAAGTTAGCTAGTACGGGAAAATTATTGAACGAGAAACTGCTACTTCCGTGAACTGCTGTTAACTATTCTAAAGTTTCCGTTTTTTGCTAGAAAAGGGCAGAATGCATGACTTCAATTTTTCTCAAAAAATTCTCGTGTTCATGACATTCTCAGCAGTGAGATGAGAACTGACAAAGCCATCAATAAGTTTTCTTATTCATCATGATGATTCCGGCGCTCTTTCACATCAGTTTTTAAATATTTTAGTATCGTCTAATGATTTTAAAGCCCAACGCAAAGATCGATCATTACTAAGAATTGAGACACAAGCTCTGAGAAGTCAATATTTCAAATTCAATATCGCCGATACAAAGCCTAAAGAAAACGTTGAGTTTGATTAAATGTTAATTTCGAGATTTTTCTGAACAGTTTCGAGGCCCTTCACCAAGGCAGTTTACATGTCCGAAGCCTGAAGGCAAATATTTAGGAGGTCGATATCCGATTATCAAAACAAACAATAGTTGTCACCTCTTCCTGTTTTTCAATTTAGAGAGATTAATAGCAGTATTCAGGTTTTATTGCTAAGAACCCCCTTCAACGGAGATTTTTTTGGTGAGAGTTGATTTCTGTAAAAATTTTAGCCTTGAATGTAAAACCGGGCTTTTTTGTGTCAAACAGCGTTTACCATGTCAAAACTTCCTTTATCAGTAAGTTTATCTGTAACATAAGATATCCACAAATTAAATCGTATTAAACTATAAATTAAAAGGATTAAAGACAGTTGGAAAGCATGGACATATGGGCATACACAGCTAGTTTCTCAGGATGATCAGCTAAGCTGAAGGCCTGTTAACATTCCGAACACAGCGACCCCAAATGTGAAAATGTCTCAGAATAGAATAAGACAGATGAAATATTTTGGGCTTGGTCGTTAAACAAAGAAAATTCATTTTTCTCCTATGAGGAGGATCAAAGTGCGAAAATCTAAATACCCTCCTTTCGTTTGGGGGAGCTAAGATTTTTTGTCTCACCCTCGCAACAAAACAAATAACACCTTTCTTTGAATTTTCAAAATTATGACATTCGAGTGATTTCTTTTGGAAGACGTAACGCTCAATTTTTGGAGGAGAACTTCCCACGTGTTGTGTCAGCAGATTTCGTTCGGTGTTGGGAACCGAAGAAAAGAAATAATTTTGTTACTTTTAATTTCTCATTTTAATGTAAAATTCCCGTGAGGACTATTTCATCAAAATTTGTCAATGTAAGCTGGGTAAAAATTAAAAAGGGAATTCTCAACGTGTAGAGCACCACCAGACTAACTCTAAAATTTCATCGCAAAGAATTCCGAAAATTGAATAACAAAATTTTAAAGACCACATGTCACACTCGATGATAATTGTTTTTGCGGTGGGACGACGTACTCCGCCATTTCCGAGAGGGTTCGTAAGATGAAGAGCATCCGTCTCGATAAGAGCCATACTGGTACGATAACTTAATTCGTGTCAATAGCCTGTTGAACGTGATTAAGACCAAGAAAGGTATTTTAAAGGAATGTTGTCCATGCTAGTAAACAATGCATCGAACGTGACCGCGTATTGTATTTTAATCCGTTCACAAAAGAGCGATTTCAAAAGTTATTTAAATTTTTTGTTTTCACGCAAGGTGAACGTGTCCCATTGGGAACGGATATGAACACATGGACTTAATGACACATATATTTCGGAATTACATAGCTTTCATAGAGAATCTCACTACCGGTCACGGTCTTACTAGATACACAACTTCAATATATATAAATTAGCAAAATTTATATTCACAGAGGTAGCTATTTGTGTAGAAGCACCGCGCGTACTGTATCAGTAAAACAGATGTCACGGACCTAACAAGATTAATCAAAGCTTTCTTTCAAAAAAATAAAAACATTTATGTGGCTAATCGATCAGCCAAAGGTTAATAACCTTTTTGTTTTAACCAAGTTTTCCTTTGACCCAGATCCCATCTTCGTTATCACCGCAGCAATTTATTAAAAACAGTAGAGCTGAAGAACTAAGCAAAACAACAGCAAAAAAAAAAACTTTTGCTACGCGCGTTAATGGTCGCATCTGAGCGCTCTACTCTAGGCAATAAGAATTTTCTCTGCATAATCTAAAAGAAAAATCAACATAAAACATTATATAGCAGTGATATCTCACACTGACGTTTTGATATTTCTATATTGAACACGTATTGGTCGTAACTTGAGTTAAAGGACCTTGAGAAACTGAGAAAGGAAATAACGTTGTAGATTATCGTCTTTACCCCATATCACGTACAAGTTTTCCGAGCAGCCACGATTATCTAACTTTCAAAATCTCTTGATATCCTAAGGTGCGTTGAGCAAAATGAAGAATAAAATTTTGGCTCGCGCAATAAGTCCGGAGATATCGAGAAAGCGCGAAGTGATATTGGGGTAGAATCATTATTAATTAGTAAAGGGCCTAGGCCTTTCTTACGATGTTAGAGACTTCGAAGTTAGGATGCTTTGTTCAAAGGTATCACGAAATGTAAAGTGATTGGTAAACAGTACGTCCGTCTCTTCTCTTTTAAACTTGAGCTAAACGGTTTGAACCTAGGGCACGCATATCCAAAACGGCTCAATGATGACATGTAAACATATTTGGTTGCGTAACAAAGTAACACGTGCTCGCTAAACCGCGGAAGGGCAGTGTATTCCAGCGCTAAAAAGCGCGTTTTTTCACCTTCTACCTGGATCTCATCTTGGCTTTCCTTCTTCCTCTTAACAGTTTGAGGGTTGCGAAACTGAATTTGCTTACTCGCTTACGCAAACTGAACCTTTCTAAAAGGTTGAGCCCGTCACGTCTGAACCAAACAATAAAGACATTAAATAACTTGAAAAACACAATGCAAAGGTTTGCACACCTTATGCCCAACGTCATGCAAGTGTACACAAGAACGAAAATATGGTATACAAAGTTCCTTAAACAACTCTCAGCTCTTTGACATTCTGTTTTGACCTTTTGAGTTGCGTTGACGAATGAGAGGTATCGGCATTTGGTCAGCCAAGGTGATCTCTCGATGACCAGATGTTTGCGTAGCTTAGCAACAAAGTCCTTCCCTTGCACATCTGATCGATAGTTTGTTTTCAAGACGCAACAAATATTTTTCCCGTGTTTATTTCGATTAGATTTGATATCTTTATAATTCTAATTGTCATGCGTAATTTATCGGGATTAGTTTCTCATAGGGAAAGGGAATTATTAAGGATTTCTTAGCACCATATCCTTAAAAAGCGTTGCGGATTTCTGATTGGAATCGACTTGGAAGAAGCAATTTTTTACCTAGGAAATGAACGACATCACACGAGTGCGGCTTACGGCACGGAATTCCGCCGTCCGCCCCTGTGACGTCACTGCGACGTCACTGAGGGGGTAATCAACACAGAGGTTTTACCCATAAAAGCCGAGCGAGAGCAAAGTAGTTTTCACAGTTGTCTGAAGATCTTACGCTGAAAACAGCTGAAAAGAGCAAATAGATCAGAACCGAAGATAATTAACTGATTGGGACTTTTCCACTCAGCGAAATGGAAGTAAAAATTTCGTTAATAGTTGTAATCGCGGCCGTGAGTGGTGTAGTAACCTTTGCAAGTGGAAAGCCGATTGCTTCTGTGTCAGTTCACCCTGATGTACAACCTGCGAGAGAGTCAGAACTCTTGGTAAGTGAATGAATTTATTTATCTTAAACTCGATTATTTCCCTTTAGAAGATGTGTGATTTCAAATCGATGTCGATGGAATTCACAATATGCTCTGTCTGTACAGTTATGCCTGTGCAAAGTTGTAAAAATTTCCGGCACAGCAGATATCATTATTTCTGAGCACAGTTGGTATGTTTATTCTGCTCAGATGTGCTTCACTCAAAGATATCAAAACAGTAGTGTGCGTCAATTAATTGAGTATTTCGCTTTAGGGAATGTTTTCCCAACCCAATGAACCGTAACAAAGAAAACATTGTGAATGAAGTGGATGACAGCTCCAATTCATTGATCAATCGTCGCTGAGATACAGCCAGGATTAATTTATTTGTTTCTTTCCGACAGTTCTATTCGAACCATCACGAAATTGTGAAATCTGCTAAGAAATTAAGAGTAGGGGTGAGCTTGGAAACTAAGAGAGTTAAGACTACCTTTGTGTTCAAAACTAACCTTCTGTAAGTTTAGGACCGCATTCAATGGCTTTACCATCACGACCGCCTGTTGAAATCGTGTATGCTTTCTTGATGAGAATAAATTACAGGCGGTTGGTCAATATGGGAAGTTCGGTACTCCATCAAATTTCTACATTCACATATGTGTACTGCAAACAATGCAGCCCACAGTGGAAGTCCTATATAATGTAAAAAATAACTCACCAAGTGTTTTCTTTGTCGATAGGATTTTCTCATTAAGTATGGCTATCTTAGCAGCCCTGATCACAGAATCGGAAAAGTGACCACAATGGAAGAATTCAAAGCGGCCGTTAAGAAAATGCAGCGTTTTGCTGGTTATGAGGAAAATGGCGACATCTCCGACCCTAAGACATTAGCACTTGTGAAACGAAAGAGGTGTGGATTGGCGGACTTCGGACCGTCAGACATAGCGAAAAGAAAACGGCGATGGGCTCACCAGGGAACAACCTGGAAGAAAAACGTAAGTTGCTTTCTTGTAGTCTAGTTTCATTCCTTCGAAAGTGTTTCCAGCGTGGATGGTTTCGGTGGCTTCACAACGCATTTTTCTGGTCTTGACGCTCTTTTTAGCTGTAGGAATTTGATTTAATTTATAAGAAACCAGGTCAAGTTTAAATTATAATAATAATAGTAATACTTATAATTTAATATCTATATTGCGCAAATTAACATGTGGATCTGATCAAATGCGCATCACAACACTTTTCGGGGGACTTTGGCCGGACTGCATCAGCAGTTTACAAACAATCGAAGGAAACTTATTTGAAGATGCCCCCTCCCCCCCAATTCCCAGTAAACAGGCCAGACCACATCACAGCAATCTCGTGAGTGGGTTCTTTAACAACCCCTGCCTAACCAAATTAACTAATTACTAGATCCAGGAGACGGGACCTACGGTTTATTCGTCCTTATCCGAGAAGACTAGAATGTCTATCCATTTCTTGATATTATAGAAAGGTAGCGCATTCTCCTCAGTTATTTTAAGACCTTGAGTGTTGGTCTGGCCGGGGCTCGAACCATGGACCTCGACCTCCCGCACAACAGTCCAGCGGTCTACTAATTGAGCTAACCGGGAGGCGGTTAGCTCAATTGGTTATTTGCCAGATGATTTTTCAAGCCTAGGATCATCCAGCAAGTTGCAAGCGGCTACATGACAGGACGGAAAAGGCGTGCACTTTAAGTACCTTCCGTTGTCCCTTACTAAGCCTTAGAAAAGTTTTCTAAGGCTTTGTATGGGACAACGGAAGGTACT